TAGCGAGCACCTGTAGGTCCAGCTACTTGGAAGGCTGAGGCGGAAGGATCGCAGGAGCCCAGCAGGTCGAGGCTGCGGTGGCTGGGAGCGGCCACTGTACTCCAGTCTGGGCGACTGAGAGACTCCAACTCAAAAAAAAAAAAAGAAATATATTTTTTAAAAAGGTTTCATTTACCCAGAACATCAGATGTTTCATTTGTATTTTACCAGTCACACATGTAAAGATAACCTATTTCATACTAATTAAAGCAGACTGCAACCTTTAAAAAAAAACCTCAGCCTGGCATAGTGGCTCATGACTGTAATCCTGTGGTTTGAAAAATCACGGTGGGAGGATCACTAGCTAGAACCCAGGAATTCAACATCAGCCTGGGCAACATAGTGAGACTTCATCCCTATTTAAAAAAAAATAATGAGCTGGGTGTGGTGGTATGTACCTGTAGTCCCAGCTACTTGGGAGACAAGATGGAGAATCACTTGAGACCAGGACGGGGCTCCAGTGAGCCAGAATTGTGCCACTGTACTCCAGACTGGGTGTCAGTGAAACCCTGTCTTACGGGGGGAAAAACCCGCAGTACCCCCACCCCCAATAAGCAAGTTGTGGAACATGAACATTTCCAATGCAAGAGTACACTTCTAAATAAGTGTATACTTGCTATAATTTGGCTCATAAAATTATAATTTATACTGTAGCTTCAGTGCTATGAAGTTCCATCTTCCTCATCTACACTACTCATTGTGAGGCTTGTCTAGACTTTAGTTAGCTATGCTTTTTAATTTAATGTTTCTTGCTTTCTTGGTCATTTATAGAATGCCAATTTTGAAGAACTTCAAAATTTTGCTTAAAATTTATCAATCTGTTCCAGGCGAGCACACAATGGGAGTTCAACATCTCAGCAATGCCCTTTTAGTGTGTGGGCAACCACGGGAACTTCTGAAGGTTTTCCAAAACACACTTCCTCCCCAGGTATTTGAGATGCTGTTGCATAAAATTCCGCTTATTTGCCAGGTAAGCACATACTTCATATGTACACAGTAAATAATGTTGAGCGTGATTACACAGAAATAGCAAAGTATGTGTGTAAATTGCCCAAAATTTTAAATGAGTGAAATCTCTGAATTTTTGCTTTTCTTGCTTTAAAATGAAAACTAGTCTTTCATGCTCTCTTGACTATAATAAATTGTATACTGAGTATTATACATGTTTCAACATTTCAACTTTAAAGCAGAACAATACTTCTACTTTCTATTAACATACAAAACAGAAATCGCTTTGGTAAATGTAAACATATAGGCTAGGCCAGGCGTGGTGACTCATCTGTAATCCCAGCAATTTGGGAAGCTGAGGCAGGAGGATCCACCTGAGCCCAGGAGTTTGGGACCACCTGGGGGCAATATAGTGAGACTCTGTCTCTACAAAAAAAAAAAAAAGAAAGAAAGAAAGAAAAAAATTAACCCCGCATGGTCGTGCATGCCTGTAGTCCCAGCTACTTAGGAGGCTAAGGTGGGAGGATTGCTTGAGTCCAGGGGTCTGAAGTTACAGTGAGCTATATCATGCCTCCCCACTCCAGTCTAGGTGACAAAGACTCCATCTCTTACAAAAAACATGTAGGCTTATCAGTGTTCTCTTAAGTTTAGAATGATATCAAATGAAATCCATTCATAAGCCAATTGATTAATAAGTATTAGTCCACTTACATTTTACCAAACTGCTTGATATACTTATGCATCAACTAGAACTTCTTGAAAATGCTTGGATTTGTTTCATGATCCATTAGCCATAAGATACTTTTAATTAGACTGATCAGTGAATTAGACTGATTCACTTTTAATTAGACTGATCACATGTCATGGCTGAGAATAAACTATATATATTATTGGTGAGACTTGGAATCATTCATGTTGGACTCTTTGCTGTTGAAAAAAACACAAACACAGACTCCACTAGGGCATAACAGTCAACTCTTAAACATTCCCAGGCTAGTCTCAGTTGGGATGTTTCTGGAAGAAATGTGAAAATGTAGGTAGGATAAGAATATGTAATGCCTACCTTGAGACAAGATGGGAGACAAGAAAAGGATCGTGCATTGAAATGATTAGCAAGTAACTATTTTATGTATTCACCAGCAATTTGAGGCAGACATGAATGAACAGGAATACTTGGAGGATGATCCTGATTGAAAAACATTTCAACGTATCCACAGTCCAGTCAGAATACTATGGTACTATATAGTACAAACAACTGCTCAGTGATATTTCTGTTTATTTTATTTTAGTAATAAAAAGTTTTCTATCTCATACATGATTGAACACATAATTTGCTTTAAAATTAACAGTCACAATTGAAGAAACAACGGTTTATTTTTCTAATCAAGTGACCAAGCTGCTGAATCATAAGGCCTCAACAAATGTTGCATCTTATTATTTCATTGAACAATAAGACCTTCTATTTTAATTATTCCTGGTAAATAGCGATTTTGTTTCTCCAGTGGTTTCCATTTGCCAAACAGTCACGACAGGTGTTTTAACATGGTGGCTGCTGCTTTCAGGGGATACTGTCAGATGAGTCCTCATTTCCAGCACAGCAGCTGTTGGCACTCTTTCATCGAAAGTCCATGTGTCAGGACTTCTCTATCGTGGTTGGCCAAGGAGTCCTGCTTTGGCTGCCAGGGCTTCATTCTGCTGAATATGATATTCCTGAAATCTCATGGATATTCTTTGTGTCATTTTTAAATATTTCTGTAAGCAATGTTCTGAACAGGTGGTCTAGAAATAAAAAGGGAGATCTAAGAGGCAACACAAAGATAATCAGTTTTTAAAAATGCAGGTATTCTAGAAGAACAACCAGTGGGTGCTTTTCTTTTCTTTGCATATATCTGAGAATTAAATAGTATTAATGGGTAGCAAGTAAAGACAGCTTTCAATTGTTGATAGTTTCATCCACTGAAAAGAATTAATGTACACTGAATGCCTGCCAGTTTGTAGGCACTAAGAACAATGAATGGTAAGTCCCTGCACTCGTGAAGCTTCTGGACTAGATTTTCTGTAGGTGTTTCAATATTAAGTCAACATTCATATTACTGTTCCCTTATTTAGATTGTTAAAATGAAGACCCAGTAGCAAGTTTGTTCCTCTTTAATGAGAAATGGCATTAACTTAATTCTCAACCTTTTACTTTTTAGTAAGAATATGACTCTTAGCATGACTCCTAAGCTTAATTATTTAATAAGTACTTAATGATTGCTGGTTATATGCTAAGTTCCTGGCATGAATGTTTATCAACATCTTCCACTGGAGGGAGTTTATGTCATTCTGAGTAAATAGTATATAAATGTCTTAACGAGGACATTAAAAGTTAAGACGTCTGATAGCATTGGGATTTTCAGAGTCTACCTATACAATACAAGCCACCAAGTTCAAACTTTGCTTTTTTTAAGAGTCAACTAGAGTTCTCAGTGCCAGAGAGAAAGGCTGTATCAGGTTTCTCTAGGTAAGCCATTTCGACTGAAAGCTAATTAGCAAGAAGACTCTTTGCTATGGAACAGTAACTCAGCAGCCGCAGGCATCTTCTCTAAAATAGTCTGACTTCATACAATGTGACTGTCATATTAAATCTAGCATTGTTAAATCCAGTGCCATGGTTCCATGGCTGCTTCAGTTCTTTTTTTTTCCTTTTGAGTCAGGGTCTCACTCTGTCACCCAGGCTGTAGTGCAGTGGCACACTCATGGCTCCTGCAGCCTTGACCTGCTGGGCTTAGGTGACCCTTCCACCTCTGCTTTCCAAGTAGCTGGAACGCTGGAACCACAGACATGTGCCACCACACCCGGCTAATTTTTTGATTTATTGGAGAGATGAGGTCTCACCACATTGCCCAGGCTGGTCTCGAACCTGTGGGCTCAAGCAGTCCCCTCGCCTCTGCCTCCCAAAGTGCTGGGATTACAGGCATGAGCCGCCACACCCAGCTTGTTTAAGTTCTTCCAAGCAGTGGAACGTAAAAGGTAGACCTAATTCCTGAACTTAGTAGGAAACAAAGGAAATGCTTAGAGGGATCCTATTTATATTGCTTATGATGAACTTTGAGAATTTTTAGTGAGCAACACTTTTCATACCTCTTCAGGTTTTACTTCTCTTGTTGTGAAGTCTTTAACACAGGCCAAAAAGCAGGTTTCTGTAAGCTTATTGTAGGTACCAAGGAATTCCTTAAACTAAAACAAATCAGAAGGTTTTTAAATATTTGGTTTTTAAAACCAAGATGCTTTGAAACTTAAATTACTGATATTTTATATTTAGACAAAATATCCTGTAATACTTAAAATCATAGGTTATTTTTCACACTTAAATTGGTACAATATGATCTGCAACAGTCTTGTTTTCTAGTTGAAATTTTCCCCTTGATTATCAGTCTAATGAAAAATATATAAGCTCCATATAATTTAATATTGAAATCACTGACTGACATGATATCAATTAATAGTGCTTTATATTATCATGCAAAATCCTTTCCCCTTAATTAGAATACCTTACCTACAGACACACGCTTAGGTATAGCTGAAAGAAAAATGGATGTGGGAAAAAGAATACCTTACCTGCTTTATCTGATCAGATTCTGGTATTTGTGTAGCCATATTCTTTTGGTACGTTAATTAGTCACCTAATTAAAAAAAAAAAAGTTTGTCAGTGTATAAACAAATGTTTTTAGGCTAACTAAGAGTTAGGTAATCACTGCTCATATTCTATAAATTTCTGTGTATGCAACTATATGCCACCCCTCAATTTCCCAGATCATGAATGACAGACTACAGAACCTTATAGTTTAGAATTAGATTTTCTAATGCTTGTTTGGGAATAAAAGGCCCTATCGAATGCTCCAGTTTAAAGAGTTTGCTCTGCTATCTTGCTAAGTCATATGTTAAAGCCCCTCTCCTAGCAGGGTTTTAAGGGAAACCAAGAGGTCTTTGGTATCTTCCTAAAATTAAATATTATTCCACTAGTTGTTAACTTAACTTTGACCCGTGATCCTTTTACTAAAGATATTTTTACTAACTATATGTAAATACAAAATTTCTAGTAATTATTAAATATCATTCACTTATAAATCAACAACCTTCATGCAAGATACTCAGTATTCTAAAAGACTCTAAGAAGAAGTTACAGGAGTTATATGTTCTACAATTCAAAAAGGGCAATCACAGAGACTTATCAGAAACTTCTGAACATATGATGCTTGTAGTCTAACTTGGGGGCAACAGAGAAGGGAAGACAAGGAAATCAAAAAACCTTTCTGAATTACTGAGATTTTCACATAACCTAAATATAGGACTTAAATTCAGTTGAGTCAGATAAAGAATGTGTATCACATTATTTATTTACTGTATCCTGACTAGTTCTAAAAAGGTTGAATATTTCATAAAAATTATTATTCAAAGTGGCTCTGAAAAGCATGAAATTTTAATAAAGGGTATATGGAATAGAAATTAAGTAGGAAACTCAAGTTTAGGACAAAATGTGTATCACCACCATGAAAAAAATTAACCTTCTCATTTTGATTAACACACAATCAACGGTCATTCCATTCCACCATTCCCAACCATGCACCACCCCCTTTGCACCCCCTTTATTCTTCTTTCTTTTTTCTTATCCCATGAATTTGCGATAACTACTGATATCCCGCGCCTTTGGGAGGCTGAGGTGAGTGGATTGCCTGAGGCCGCAGGTTCGAGACCCGCCTGGGCAACTTGGCGAGACCTCATCTCTACAATAATTCAAAA